GTTTACGCGCATTTAATTTTGGAAGATTCTATAAATTTCTATAAAAGTTCTTATTTTTTGTGTAATTTTCTTTAATTCAATTTTTTATTTTATAATTTAATTTAGGTTTAATGATCAAATAATTTATTTTTTATAAAAATAATAACTGTGTTTTCCAATTAGAACTCAATTATCCTAATTATATTTTTAATTTTATATTTAAAATAATAACTTTATCCAATATTTGATTACGTTTATCTACAGTTAGTTAGACGAATTCAAACATAAAGCTTAATAAGTTGTACTTATGCACACAATTTACTTGTAATCTTGAATTTTAAGTAATATGAATCAATAAACAGTACTTCATGTATAAAAGATGGTTTCTAAAAGTTTTTGTCAAATGTTTTATAATATAGTATAAATTTAACACAGATGCTCTAGTAACAACAACAATGATAATTATATGTTTTGTGAACATACTTTTAAAAATAATTACTGATAAGCTACCTGTTAAGCTTATAAGCAGGTAAAATAGAAAATGCATCTTGAAAAAATAGTTAATTACAAATATTTTATAATATAATAAAAAATAAATTTATAACAATATAATTAAAAAAAAATCTAATAATATAATATGTTAACTGATACAAATAAGATAATAAAGAAAAATTAAACAATACAATATGTTAATTGAAAGAATTTAAAATTGATTATTATATATACACTATAAATTTTGAATTTGTTAAAACAAATTTTTGAAAAAAATCTGCATTAATCTATGATTTTGAATAATTAATACATATAATATGGCTAAAGGCTTGGGTATGGCATATTCGTGAACCCAAGTTCGAGCCCTGGGAGGGGAGTATTGGCGACATATAGTGGGGCCATGTTTAGCCTCCAAATTTGCCGGGGATTAGTCGGGCTTTGGCCCGAACACCCTTACAAAAAATAAAATTGGTCAACCTCACATATCCTAACTAATTAATATATTTAAAAAATATATATAATTAATGATTAAATTAAATATTTTATTAAAATTATTTAGCAGATTTTAATTATTTATAAAATAAAATAAGTATAACTTTAATTTTTATGTAACTTACATAAACATTAGAATTGTTATATTTGTTTTTTTGACATTTAAATATATCAAATAGTAATTAAAAAAATAATTGATAAAGTTAATAACATTTATAATTAATTAATAAATAATTGAACAAAATACCCAAAATAGCAACTTACTTTTACAATTTTTTTTTTATTACAACAGTGTACTTTCAAAATATTTTGTATTAGGTCATCGTACTTTCAAAAATTTACCCGCTATAGTATTCGGTAGCCTTATAAATTAATCTGCCCCCGTCGCTGTCTCGGCTGTGCTACCGGAGGCTCTGGGGAAGTCGGAATAGGAGAGCGGACAATTAGCTAGAGCAGCGGGTGCTGTAGCGAAACTGATTGCAAAAGAAGGGAAATCGGCCACATTAAAATTACCATTTTACTTATTATAACAGGTTTCTTTGTCACCTCATCATCCACGTAGGCTGTCTGCAGTACGATAATGCTGACATGACATTTCCTATTATAGCATTGTACTTTCAAGATTTCTTTATTATAACATTATCAATTTCTATTACAACATTGTACTTTTAATTTTAATATTTTTATCATTTAAACATTGTAAATTTAATCAAATATGTTTACTAAAAATTATAATTTTACAAAAAATCACTATTTCACGAATAAAAATATTCATAAAAAATCATTCGTTCATCGAGTTTCATCGTAAATTTTATGTCTAGTCGTACTTGTTCTGACATAGGTTTATTAGTTTAACTAACCTCACAGTAACACAGTAAGTGGTCAAGATCATCTTTTCTTTCTCAATAAAACCAGTAAAACTAGGATGTTAAGTTAAGATTGTCTTTTACAAAGTAAGCTATGAAATTTACGATGAACGGATGGTTTTTAATGAAATTTGTATTCGTTAAATAATGATCTTTTATAAACATGTTTTATTTCTGATATTATAATTTTTAGTAAACATATTTGATTAAATTTACAATATTTAGATGATAAAAATATTAAAATTAAAAGTACAATGTTGTAATAGAAATTGATGATGTTATAATAAATTAATTTTGAAAGTACAATGTTATAATAAGAAATGCAATGTCAGCACTACCGTATATGTGGACAGCCTATGTGGATGATTAAGTGGCAAAGAAACCTGGTATAATGGGTATATTTAATTTAAAAGGTTACCCAATACTATAACAGATAAATTTTTGAAAGTACTACGCCGTAATAAAAAATATTTTGAAAGAATGTCTTAAACATGTTTTTGTGTTTCCAATTAATCTTTTATTGTTTCCTTTTGTATTTGATGTATTGCAATAACCCACTTAATGATTTTAAGCCTTTATATTGAGAAGATCGGAAATTTTGGGAAATATTTGGAGGTTTTAAAAGTTAAAGGGATTGGTTTGGGAATTCAAGAGCTCGCAATAAAATCAGGTTCGGGAGGCAATACTGGCTTCCAAGGCTTAAGTTTGGCTCGACATTCGTTGCCACTAGTGCCAAAGAAGAATTTCTGATCTCATCTTGCTTGCTGGGAGAGAGGGATTTCAGACTGATTACCAGCTTTGAAGCTTATTAGATTTTGGGGGAAATTGGAACATGTATTAAGAGTAATCATTACTTTTCAAACATCAATTTTACTGATAGAAAGAAGTTAAGGAGGGAAGTTGGTAGTAGAATGAGGATGCTGGTGATCTAAGCGAAGGAGATCTGAGTTTTGGTAGCAGTGTTTCACTAATCCAGGTAACCTATGAAACTCTTCACTTTATTATGTAACGATTGTGAAATTAGTCTATTTGATGTTGATTTGGTCATCGGAAGTTATGACAAACAATGCTATGATGAAAGAATATATAAATACATATCGATTCATTCCATTAGGTAATGCAATTGTACTGTATGTGGAATTAGATTTAGAATTACAATATACTGATATTTGAAAGAAATCGAGGTTGGGCGTAGGTGTTACTATTGGAATTAATTTTTTGAAACAAAATCCACACCATTAAGCAATCAAAATAAGAAAGAAACATAGACCTTCTGTATTTGAATCTGTACCATATATAGCATAAACCGTAACCTACTGATATATACAAAACCTTGAACTTGATTCGAGTTATTGTACCGAACCTCAAACCTGTCTTGTTTGTTTATGTACAACATGAACCATGGCGTGTTAGATGACAAAGACTAGTAGATATAATCACAACCAAAGAAGTTTTATACTCCTTACTGTTTTCAGTGTGGCCTGTGAGAGCTGTATAAAATTGAGGCAAAATCTGAAAACTAGATATGACCTCAAAATAACAGGGTCAAGGTCGATAGCAAGACAATAAAAGTTGTGTGTGAGAGAGAGAGAAGAGAAATTAGGGTTTGATCCGATGTATAAAAAAAGGAAAATGATTCATTTAGGAAGAAATCGGGTGGGTTTGAGAGTTTTACACCCGGATTGTAGTTTGGGTTATGGGCGCAGGTTGGATCTAGAGGATCTAACGGTCTGTTTGGCTCATACTAAGAAATGAAAGTGGGAATGAGAATGAAAATGACAGATAATAAAAATGAGAATACATTTTCATTCCCACCATTTTAATCACGAATAATTTTGGGCTTCTAGGGAAATGTGCCCATTATATTATAGAAAAACTAAACAGTTTCTTTTTTTATTTTCATCTTCATTGATTACTGTCTAATACCTCTAATCAAACACCCTCTAAATATTGTTGAAGGAAGTTTGGGGATTTGGCATCTCCAACCCCTGATCTTTTTAATTTTGGCATTTAGGCACCAAATTTAATTACAAGGTTATTCCAAGCTATTAATTATGCTATTTTGACTACTAGTTTATTTGAAAGTTATCTAACTAATCTTCGTTAAGTTAATTGGGTTTATGTAATTGTTGTTTCGGATTTATATTTGAAAATGCTCAGTGAGAGAATAATTAATATAACAAAGATCGCAAGTATACAATCGAGTTAATAATAAGTTCAATTAAGAGATCAATAATAAATCGAAAACCATAACGTAAAGTGTTCAATCGACAATTGACATGAAATGTCGTGATTAAATGAACTAAAATAATATCCTCAAATCAAGAATTGAGTATAAAAATAAGAAAATCAACTGGGTTCGAGGGTTGTACGGACCGCTCGAACAAATGGAAATGAGTGCAGGGCAATACACCCAAATCCCTTTTGATAATCGGCTCCCGAAAACAGTTCTTATGATCGATCCATTCGCCCTCAAATTGGCCGGTACCATTGATTAGTTCATCTTCATGTAATTGGATTCCCACAATACCAATTCCTTTTGACCAATGAATTGGACAAAGGGATCATCCCTAGCTTCTTCCTTTAGGGTTGGGTTCACGTGAGACCAATGGTTTTTCGTGAGACCCGTAAGACCAATTTATGTTCATTGATCAACTTTATAAGCTAATGATATAATGGTCTAAAGTTGCACGGTGGCAATTTTGTGAGTATTGAGAAGTCTCGTGCCGTTTATGAATGTGTAGATTATCAGATTGTAGATCTAATCCAAAGGTTGAGAATTGGTCTTACGAGTCTCACGAAAAACCCTTGGTCTCACATGATCCCAAATCATCTTTAATCCAATGTGAATTGCATATTTTATCATAACTTGCATAATATTTTATCACACGAGGTGTATGTATGATATGTGAGCACGTAGAGTTGACCAAACATATTCTAAGTTTCCAAATCCCCAAATCACTCATAATTGAGTGCTAAATACATCCACAAGATCTGGTTTTTGTCCACCCAATCATATCCTTAAGTTTAACGAGCTTTATGCTGCCCACGATCAAGAAAACATGACCCACCATTGAAGAACAAAACACGACATTGACCTCTCTAAATGATCACTATAAAAGTCTTTGAATCTTTCTGTAAATTTTAAGGAAACTGATCAAGATGTTGAGAATGAGGAGCAAATTGGTCGCGTTCAACTCAGTGAGGGCTCGTGTTCAAGTCCGTTCACCATCACCAAGACATAGAAAATCTTATAGTTTGGGACGACTGAACGAAGGTATGAAGACTGTGGCGTTTTCAGGCAGTGAAAACAGCAGTAGGGAATTGAATTTCGACATCAAACATGAGATTTTGAAGGGGGAAGCAATGACGGAAAATGGGTGCGCGAATAAGGTGATGGTGGTGGTTGATACAAGTGTTGAAGCTAAAGGTGCTCTTCAATGGGCACTTACTCATACTGTTCAAGATCAGGATACCATCATTCTTCTTCATGTTGCTAGTCCTTCAAAACTAGGTAAAATTTGTAACTTTTTTAAGTTGATTTTTGTGGGATGAGTTCCGTTTTCGTGATCATTTTCGATCAAGAAAGTATTTTTCATCCGTTACGTTTACATTTGCAGGTTTTAAATCAAGTGGGGGAGTTAATCAAAAAGCATATGAACATCTTTGCTCCATGAAGAAAACCGTTCAGATGAAGAGGCCTGAGGTTAGTAGAACGATATATATATGAACTTCCGACATTGAAAACTAGCATAAATCGGATTTATAGGATGTCAAAAACGTCTAAATGTCGTAATAGAATGATTTACAAGACTTAAGTTTACAGGACCAAACAATTGTGTATCCTAACTGTAGCAAGTTTGAATTCTGGGATTGGTTATTTGAAACAACTTATGCTTTTCTACAAAAGCACTTATCAACTTATTATAAGTCAGAAGGGTTTAACTTCTTCAAAAACTCCTTATAAGTTGTTTATCCACTGGTGCCACACCTGAATAAGTCAATAAGTTGTCTTTATAAGCAATTCCAAACACCCCCTAAAACCAAAATTCCATTGATGATCCACTCACAAGTTATAGATTGAAATCGTCTTTGAAAACAGGTGAAAGTTGAGATAGAAGTGAGACAAGGGAAAGAGAAGGGTCCGACGATAGTCGAAGCAGCAAAGCAAGAACGAGTTTCTTTGTTGGTTTTGGGGCAAAAAAAGCAGTCAATGATGTGGAGAATTCGAAAGATGTGGGCAGCGAAGAAAAGCAAAAACCAAGCTGTGGATTACTGCATCCAGAAGGCTGATTGCATGACGATTGCAGTGAGAAAAAAGAGCAAGAAACATGGGGGATATCTCATCACCACAAAGAGACGCAAGAACTTTTGGCTTTTGGCTTAATGCATATCGATAATATGTGCATTTCCAGTTTGAATTTGACTGAACCAACAAGACTAAGGAATGATGCCAATCGTCTAGCAAAGTGCGTATATTTCCTGTTATAGAAAGGGTTCGACCTAAAAGTATTGATGTCATCATTTCAGATACAATGATGCCATAGATTTGGAACCAGTTGGTTGATTTTTATGGCTATGAAATCTTGCAAGAGAAATTGTTCAGGAAACGATTTTCAAGTTGAAACGAACATCAAAATCACATCCTTCTTCAAGAAAACACATAAATATATGGATTACATCAACGAATCAAAAGTATCATGAAGTGAATTTTTATAAAAGAAATTAGGTCAAGAAACACTGTAAAGTTCATCCCAGAAATGGGGTTTATTGATCAACAGGGGGGAAAGAGGGACATACTTGACGGCAACGGTAAGACGTCGACTCTGCAGGGCACCATGATTTGCTTATTTTCGAGTTTTGAAATCGGATATTTGAAGCCAATCATTTTATGGTTCACGACTATAACCGTGGGTGTTTGATATTGCTTATTTGAAATAATTTAATGTTTTTCTGTAAAAGCACTTATCAACTTATTATAAGTCAGAAGAATTTAAATTCTTCAAAAATTCTTTATTATCGGTTTGACATCGGTATAAGTTGTTTATTCAGACATTCAAAAATGCTTATTACCGATGTCGCACCAGAATAAGTCAATAAGTTGTGTTTATAAGCAATCTCAAACACCCCTTAAATCTAAAAAGTTTGAAGGAACAGGGTTTGGGTTTTTTTCCTTCTTATTTTACAAGTTCATGACTTTAAAAATTGGAATATGAAGAAATTCATGTTTGACTGTGAATTTGATCGACATTAATTGGAATAAAATCTGTTAAAAGAATTTGAATATGTCAGTTTGGTTTGTTGAATAAAATAGTGGTGGTGGGGCGGAGGCGGTGGCAATGACTGTGGTAATAGTCGTGGTGGCAATGACGATGGTAAGGATGAATGGTGGCGGCGATGAGGGAGATGGTGGCAATGATAAGAGCATAATAGTTTTGCACACTATGTTGTGGGATGGAATAGAATGGAGTAAATATAATAACGTAATAGTTTTTCTTAGAAGATGGGAAGAAGTAATGTGAGTTCCTTGTTGAAACCCAATGGATTTACGTTCCACCTTATATGGAATTCGAATTCTTTATAAAAACTCAAATGAATAAACCAAAACATGAATGAAATTTGGTCAACAGAATTGGTCATTCCAATTCCTTCGAATTCCAACAAGTGAAACACTAGCTTAGGGGGTATTTGTTTCGCAAAATGAAATTTGATGGAATTGGAATCCATTAAAGGAATTTGACAATGAAAGAACTAGAATGAACTTTGATAGAATTTGACCACACCTTTGGTTGGTAAGAATTGAAGTGAAATCTCTCAAAAAAGAATTGGATTTTTCATATTTGTTTGGGGGAGGGGTGAGGGTGGTAGCTGTGATAACGACAGTAGTGATATCGTAGTCGGGTGGGTGGTGGTAGTTGTGACGACAACTGTAATGGCATGATGGTCGGTAGGTGAGGGTGGTAGTGGGTGGCGGGTGGGTGGCGGTTGTAACAACGACAAAAGGATTTTTATTTATTTACAAATATTCTATTATTATCTGTACTGATCCAAATACAAAATGTCTTCAACAAAATCGAAGACTAGCCGAAGTGAATTAGATTATCATCTAGTCGATTGAAGATCGGTACAAGATAAACTCAAAAATAGTATGATAAATACTAGTTTCGACAGGCCGATTTTTTGAGTGCAAACTTAACCATCACCAACTCTACCAACTCTTGTCCTAGCATGAGAACATGATCAACATGTCAGACTAAATAAGTTTAAAAGTACTATTTTAAAAGTACCAAGCTTTCTTTATTGTTTATTTTGCATATAGAAGGATGAGTTGTATTAACAAATGTCTACAACAATATTAAAGGCTAAATTGAATAATATAAGCATGCACTGATCAACAAATCAGATAAGACACACGTTAAAGTTGGACAACAAATTAGCAACATTTAATGTAATGTTGACTATAAAAAGGAAACCCTTATCAAATGTTGCAACTCACCAATCCGATCACAATTGTATATCCAATCATCGACAATCGTAACTAATTGGATCGGTTGATCTTCTGCACACCCCTATTAATTGGTACCAACTAAATTGGTGTTGACTTTTTTCAGTTGGTACATGTTGGTATGGTTTTGTACCAACGTCACAAACGATGGAGTTACAAATTTATTTATTTTAACAACTTTACTAACTAGATCAAGATGCATTAAGACTTAGAGCATTCAAATAACATGTTGATATGTATTGCACTACATATCTCTACCTATAGAGACATTCAAATAACCTTTCTACAATAAATGCATTCACTTTAATGAAATAATAACCTCAATTAAAATGGTGACATTTTTTGAAGCTAAAGGATAACCGTAGTAAGGAACCTAAGCACATGCTATGTCATGCGTTGGCTTGGCCCTCAATTTTTTCCCCAAATCGCTTCTTTAACGAAAACGAGAACGACCCACCCACACACTCTGTCACCTCTTCCTTTCCTTTCCCCCAAGCCGACATTTTTCTTGCGTGTCAGGAGCTCAACACATCGCCCTCGCTCTTTGCCCATTACCGGATTGATTGTTTCAATTTCAAATCAACTCATACTCGATTGAACTCGATATTGGCTCCAATAACACTGATTTCCATCCAAGTTAGTGTGATTGGTTGCTTCGCGCCTTGATTCGTTCATGGGTTTTCTTTAAAGATTGCGATTCTCTTCTGCAATTGATTCAATTTTATGATTGATTTGATGGGTTTTAACTCGTTATTGATTTGGTTGTGGTGAATTGTGGATTCGGATTCTTGATTAAAAGATGCGCCGGCGGGCTGCCGACTACCGGCGTCGTGTTCGAAGGAGGCTTCCAATTTGGATCTGGGTCTTTCTTGTGTTGTTCTCTGTCGCTGGATTTGTTCTAATCTTTGTTCAACACAATTATCAAGATCAAGATCAAGATCGGGTTAAACAGCCCGTATTGGTAAGATTTTACAGCAATGCCAAATTCTATTTTTGTTCTTTAATGCAGTTCTTTAAGGGGGTTCATCTTTGTAATGATAATTTTTCTATCATTATCTGGTTAATAATGCTCAGTGACCTATGGTATCAAGTGATGCTAAAGTTTTTGATTCTTGGTGATTTAAAGCTGATTTTAGGCATCTAACTAACAAATCTTTTGTTTTATTGATGTCTTTATCAAAGTGTATAGTTGTGAAGTTGTTATAGTGAGATTTATATGCCTCTGAAGTTTAGATTTGAGACATTGATGAATTGGACTAGTGATTGCCCTTCAAGAATTAGAACTTGCTTGTTACAACTAGAAGAAATCAAAGCAATCGATTCTAAGTGTTCCTTAAATATGTTTAGAATTACCTAAAGAATGTTAGCTTGGCTTTTTCGGTAGTACTTGAACTTAACACAATGGCAAGAGAGGAACTTGCCATTAACGTAAACGAAAGGTTTTCAAGAAATAGAGAGATGTGTTAGTAATCTTGTGTGATATATGAGGTTGCTATGTTCACTTGTGGTGGTTGCTTTTTTCGTCAATTACTTGTATAGGTATGACATGGATCAGGATAGTTTCGATTATATGGTGCATGAGATAGTCTATGACCGTTGATCGTCTCTGTAACTATTGATGTGCCATCAAGAAGAACACTTGTTTAACTTGAAGAATTGGCATATCTTCTTATAGTATTAGAAGGATAAAGTCAAGGAAATTTCGTCTTACCAAACTTACCAACCGACAAAGGAAGACTTCCATTAGAGGCAGCTCTATTACGTTTTGATTGTCCAAATCTTTATTTACCAATCTTGAAGTTTCTCTGGGCTTCAATTAGAAGGTTGTCTCTATTGTATTAGCCTGGCTGCTTTTGTTGTGGCTTTTTGGTCTTTGTTTGATTTTGGAAATGGCTTTTGCGTTCTCACTACTTGAGCTTTTCCATTACTACACTTTGCCTTTTACTTTTGGGGGATTAAGTTTCCGTTCAATAAAAATCTTGAGATCCATTAAAGATCCTAATATTCACTTAATCTAGTAGTTTCTTCATCTAATTGCAATTTGGTTTTCTCACGTCTTTTTTCTCTTCATACCAGAGTTTGACTTTCCAAATCTGGTACTCTATAAGTTGACTTTGGCCTTGTACCACATATGCTTGTAGTTGCTAGACGATACTCTTATCATGCCATATGTTAGCAATTTCTTGAGACATAATAACCATCAAAGATTAATCAAGTGGGTGCACTTATGTTTGCATTTTAGGTGTGTTGGTACTTAATACATTATATAAGTGTGTTGCCATTGTACGTATTATACGTGTGTATGTGTTTGAATTGTGGAGGCCGGGGGCATTTGTGTATTTTGTTTGCTATACATAGAAGGGTATCCCTCAGATCCCTTGCAATTAGTTCATATTTGTTCAAAAATTAACAAATACACAGACTTGAGGAATCCAAATGGAAGTCCGCTACTCAAGTCACACCAAACCAAACCAAAACAAACAACAAGCCAAGTCCATCCCCCCCGGAAGTGGGGTCTGGGAGGGGTGCGATGTATGCAAACCTGATCCCTACCCCGGAGAGTAGACTTGACCCCTACCTTTTCTAAAGTCACTCTTCAACATAGAATTAGAATAACATTAAAAAGAGACAGTGGATGCATGCTGTTTAGGCTCTCTTTTGTGTTTTTATACTGTTGGGAGTCCCACATCGGCTAGACACGGCCATTAAACCTATATACATGTGGGCACCTCCCCCCTCTCTATAAGGGCTCTTTTAGAGAGATTTAAATGAGTTCCATATAAACTAACATATACCTTTTAAAAGAGTCCATGTTTAACCAATCTTTCTATTTATAACAAGGTTTTAATTAAATATTCATGTTATTGGGTCGATTGTAGCTCTTATTTAGAAAGCATCCAGATTATTTGTGTTTTTGTATCTTTGATTTCCTGTTTCCTGCAATTATTATCATGTCTGAGATTTGGATGCCTACATATATACGAAGCATCTATGATACAGATGCTAGAGAACGTTATTGGACTTCTTTGTATAAAGTTATAGAATGGTCGATTTTATCATATTCTTTTCTAAGACCTTAGTTTGAAACAACACTTACATGATCATCTAACCATTTTCAGGAACAAAATGCTAGAAAAGTAAAAGTGACTCACAAGAAGTTGAATCTAACGAAGGAGATAGCTAGTGCCAATTCGTACGCCAGACAATTATTAGAGCAAATGACACTTGCAAAAGCGTATGTAGTCATTGCAAAAGAACACAATAACCTTCATCTTGCTTGGCAGCTAAGTTCAAATATAAGAAGCTGTCAGTTTCTGCTTTCGAAAGCTGCCATGAGAGCGGAGGCCATAACACAAGATGAAGCTGAACCGCTTATTAGTAGCCTATCGGCTCTAATTTTAAAATCGCAAGATGCCCATTATGATATTGCAACCACAATGATGACGATGAAATCTCACATTCAAGCACTTGAAGAACGGGCAAACGCAGCCACCATTCAAAGTGCGGTTTTTGGACAGCTAGCGGCTGAATCACTGCCCAAGAATCTTCACTGTGTAAATGTGAAACTTTTGGCGGATTGGATTACGAAGAAGAAGATACAGGAGCTTGCTGAGGAGAAAAACAACTCCCCAAGATTATTGGACAACAATCTTTACCATTTCTGTTTGTTTTCAGATAATTTACTGGCGGTTTCAGCTGTGGTCAACTCTACGGTCTCCAACGCTGACCATCCGAAGCAGCTTGTGTTCCATGTAGTTACTAATGGAGCCAACTATGCAGCCATGCAAGCTTGGTTCGTTACCAATGACTTCAAAGGGTCCATGATTGAAGTTCAAAAAGTCGAAGACTTCACTTGGTTGAATGCTTCTTACTCTCCCGTTGTTAGGAAATTAAGTGAAAACAACTTTCAGGGATACCCTCTTGAAGGCTCGCAAGATTTTTTGAACCCAAAGTACATATCTTTATTACACCACCTTCAGTTCTACATCCCTGAGATTTATCCACACCTTGAAAAAGTCGTCTTTCTTGACGACGATGTGATTGTTCAGAAAGATATAACCCCTCTTTTCTCCTTGGATCTTCATGGGAACATAAATGGAGCTGTGGAAACGTGCCTTGAAGCTTTTCACCGACTTTATAAGTATCTAAACTTCTCAAACCCAATCGTGAGCTCCAAGATTGATCCGCAGGCTTGCGGGTGGGCATTTGGGCTAAACGTTTTCGATTTGGTGGCTTGGAGGAATGCAAATGTGACAGCCAGATATCATTACTGGCAAGAACAGAATGCAGATGGAAATGTGTGGAAATTAGGGAGTTTGCCGGCCGGTCTTTTGGCGTTCTACGGACGGACGGAGCCACTAGACCGAAGATGGCACGTTTTAGGGCTAGGATATGATGTTAACATCGATAGCAGGCTCATAGAAAGTGCAGCTGTGATTCATTTCAACGGGAACCTGAAGCCATGGCTAAAGTTTGGGATTGCGAGGTACAAGCCTTTATGGCAAAGGTACGTAAACAGAACACACCCGTATCTCCTTGATTGTGTCACTAGTTGAAGGTGATTGTTAGTATACAGATAGAAAATTTTGGCATTGTTTAGATGTTAAATCTTTATAAATTATATTCTTTTGTTTGATTTTGGTCATCATATCAAAATTTTGGCATTGTAGACATTTTTGAAAGAAATATAATTTGATTTTGGAAGCAAAGTCTTTGGATTTGGTTTTCTTGGTGATGAACCAAATGCTCAACGAGGAGCTTCGTGGTACTACTAAACCAAACGAATCTATTATATCTCACTTGAAAGTAGCGTTAGGAGTGTTGGATGGACATAGACTTTGGCTTTACATCTAAGAGTAAAGAGGTGGTTAGTATTGTCGTGTTTTCCAAGTTGGATCTAAGAGCGGCTATCAACGAGTTTGAATATGCCTTTATCAATGTGGACATATTGCATCCACGCTCGATGAAATATCTGGTGCTCTCTCTGTCCCCAACGTCTCTCTCTCTCTCTCTACACCAAGACCGCTTATTTGTTTTTGTTGGCCTGTATATTCCAGTCTTTCCTTCTTTGGTGTCTATCCGCTTATACATACATACATACATACATATATATATATATATATATATATATATAGGGTTGGGTCCACGTGAGACCAGCCTGTTTTCGTGAGACCCGTGAAACCACATTTTTACACTTGAAACTTCATAGCAAAAACACTGTGAAGGTTAAAAAAAGTTGAACCTTCACAACAAAAACACTGTAAAGGTTAAAAAAAGTGACCTTCACAGCATTTTGCTGTGAAGTTTCAAGTGTAAAAAGGTGGTCTCACGAAAACAGGCTGGTCTCACATGATCCCAAGTCTATATATATATATATATATATACATATAGGCGAAGGATCATGTGAGAAGGCAAATTATAGTGAGAAGCGTGAGAAGATATTTGAACCCTTGATCACTTTTAATTTCATGCACATCCATGAATTGTGCTTTAGAAAGGAATTGATCTAGTGTACCTCATTAGTGTTGACATTCAATTAAGATTGATTCAAGGGTAAAGATCTCTTCTTATGCGTCTCATTATAGTGTGGGGTTCCGTTGAGAAGGAAATTTACAGTGAGAAGCGTAAGAAGAGATCTCCACCTTTGGTTCAATCATAATTGAATGTCAACACTAATGAGGTGCACCGAGATGCAGCAGATCAATTCCCTTCTAAAACGCAAAATTCATGGGTGGGCATGAGATTAAAAGTAATCAAGGGTTCATAACTCTTCTTACGCTTCTCACCATAACTTCCCTTCTTACACGATCCTTCGCCTATATATATATATATATATATACATTTGGGAAGTAAAGAAGTGATCCTAGCCTTTCATCTCAAGATTTGCAGCTTTGACTAGTCAAGATTTGCAACATGGTAACAACTATGTGAAAAGTAGAGGGGTAGTTTCGTAACTTTTACAAATAAACGGTAAAAAAATGCATATATGAACTCGTATGATTCACATATAAACTATTGGGCATATGTGAACCCGTGTGATTCACATATGAAATATTTAACTTATTCACATACAAATCCGTGTGATTAGTTAAGTAGTCATATGTGAATTGGTTAAATAGTTTATATGTGAATCACAGACGGATTCACATATGCACAAATAGTTCATATGTGAATCACACGTGTTCTCATATGTACTTGTCTGTTTCATATCTATAAAAAGTTACGAAATTATCCATCTATCATATCCACATACCATCCAATGTTTCACAGTCAAAACCGTAAATGTTGATGAGAAGAAGGGCTATATATATACTCATATGCTTTATACTTTGTTATAGTCACCCTTGTTTTCCCTTCTTATTTTGCTTCCTTGTACAGTTCCTTAAACCTATCTTTTTCCTCAACATCCCAACACGTCATCAGCTATTTACATCACTTATTATCATAATTTTTTGGAAAAAGTCCAAAAAAACCCAATGGACTTTACTATTTGGAACGATTAAGTCATTGGACAATTTTTTGGAACAAATAAATCCTTAGACATTCTAGAACCTGTTAAATAAGTCATTAGACATTACAAAACCTGTTAAATAAGTCCTTGGACTTTTTAAAATCTGTTAAATACATTTTGTTAGTGGAAAAAGTCCAAAAAAACCAATGGACTTTCATATTTTGAACGATCAAGTCCTTAAACATTTTTGAACGAAAAAAGTACTTACATTTATAAAAAAACAAATATACCATTCTCATTACTCTTCACAAAACATACAAAAGTTGTATCCAAAGCATAATAATTTGTATACAAATTTTGGGCATAATTTTACCAAAAGTCAAACCAAGAAAAAGCTAACAATTGCGCCATCTGAATCTTGGCCCTTAGCAACTTGACCCTTAAAGTTCAAAATCCCGATCTGCAATCAAACAACATCTAAATAGAGAATAAACCATGTATCCCAAATGGCATGACCAACCTTCATAGAAGAAACCAAGTGAAGAAATGGAGTCCAACCAGCAAGTGAACCACTCAACCAACTATTAGATCGAGTCTAACTAGCCAAACCAACCATAGTTATT